CATGATCCAGGCTCGCTTGCATGATCCAGGCTCGCCTGAAGACTTAAAACTCGTATGCATGCTTGAAGCTCGCCTGAAAAGGATGTAGTTTGCCTATAAGGAAGTCCGTCTGCAAGGCTAGAGATAGCCTGAACATTGGAACTCGCCCGAACTTAGCGAAACTCGCCTGCATAGCTTCGCCTACAAGGTTCGCCCGCATAACCTCGCTTGAGGGCCAAGCTCGCCTAAAGAGTAAGCTCGCCTGTCAACACTCGGAGCTCGCCTGCATAGCCCAGCTTGCCTGCACAATCTCGCATGCAGAGCTCGCTTGACAGCTTGAAGATCGTCTGCATAGCCTCGCCTGTTGAGCCCGCCCGCCTGAGCTAAAAGCTCACCTACATGGCTTGAGGCTCGCTGCGAGGCCACTCGCCCGCATGACTGAGCTCGCGTGGAGGACAAGCTCGCCCGACTGTTAGAAACTCGTCGGCACGAATCGAGTCGGATCCGCCTGTTTAGTCGACTTACCAGCACGAAGGTTCAAGCTCGCCTGTAGGCTTGAGCTTGTCTAAAAGTCAAGCTCGGGTGTCAAACTCCCCAATGCGGCCCGCAAGCAGTCGCATCAGTGGTCATATCCCACATTTCAAGGGAAAAAACATGGCTCCCCTACTCTACAAATAGCCATTAACGACTATAATCAAGGGAAAAAACATGGCTCCCCTACTCTACAAATAGCCATTAATGGCTACAAAAAGAGGGCGGCTGACAAGACCCTCTAGGTGGTCACATCCTATAGTTAGGGAGCATGATGTACTTGTGGTCAAATCTCACAAATCAAGGGATGGCTCATGTCATCCCTTGACTATTTATAGGACCTTTTTGTCCACATGCAAAAGGTCCAGATTCTATTCCTACTCTTGGAAAAAGAATAGGCCAGGCTCTGCTAAAAAAAACCTTCGCCTCTTGACTAAAAGAGGCTTGAAGAGTGCAGAGCCTTAATTGCTCTTGTGTCGGATGAGACTGTTGTCGGCTGACTGGAGATTGATAGAGGACCGAACTTTGAGATCTCGGCGTACTCGGGCTCCGAGAAATCAAGTAATTGTTCGGCCGTCGAACTCATCCAAACGAGCTTCTACTGCGCATTGAAGCTCGCCTACAACTTCGATCGGATCGTCCAAGGGAAGCAAACTCGGTTCCGATACCGAGGGAGGCGTCCTATTGCTACCAAAGATCCCGTGTTAAACAAGAAGGGCATTCCCTCCGCTTCTGTTGTAATCTTGATTCATTAGTTTGTAATAAGTCATTCTTATCAATACAAACGAAGTCCTCCTTTCGGGAAATCAAATTTTACACCTACACACATTATGCAGCTGCAAAAGCTCCCTACAAAAAATCTCCAGCTCTCACATACTAATACATGCAGTCTCAAGAAGTTACACTCAATAAATCCAATAAAAAACATACAAGAAAATTAAAGAAAACCTTAACCATATTTGGCAATGAAGGGATATCTGATTACCCGTTAGGGTGGCAGAGAGGAGGTCTGAGAAACCCTTGCTGTTGCTGTGAACGGTGCCGTACGTGTTGCCGGGGAACCTGCTCTTCAGTCCTTCTACAACTGCGGCGACCTGACACCGGTCCAAATGGGCCGGGTCTACCCGAGATGGATGGTATGCCTAAGGGTTAGGCCTTGGCAGTCGGAGGTTACAGCACTTTCGACGACATCCTAATATAACAAAGATCATAAGGTGTAAGTATGTACGTATATATAATGCAGTTATAAGTATTGTAGACCTATATAAGTATATTTTATATAAGTACATAAGTACAATTATATATAAGTATATTGCATGTAGTCTATATAAATGTATATCACATAAGTGAAGTAAATAACTATACTTAAATCTACTTCTTTATACTTAAGGAGCTTCTCTATACTTAAGGAGGATCCAAAGATTTACTGTTCATTATACTGTAAATACTATAGTAAATTAGTATAATATTTACAGTAACATGAACAGTAATTTTTTGGGTCGTCTTCTAAGTTAGAGGAGAAAATTTCCTGGTTATGCTACCCATTTAAATATAAAGTAGTAGATATGATTTCTAATTTTAAACATGTAATAATCAAATCAAATGTATTAAACATTAGAGGGAGACGGGTTTAAAATGCAATGCTTAAAAAAACAGAGGGCTCGTGCTTTTGCACGGGGTACACACTAGTAAGCATAATATAAGTATGTAACAAATATATGTATAGCTATATAATACATATTTATAAATAAGTAATATATACTTATGTGATACTCTTTCTCTCTCAAGTTATAAATATATACAATATACTTACATATAATATATGTATATATAATATATAGGTATATATTAATATACTTACAGTAAGAAGACTGCTCGACCCATGGCTCTTGGCTCTTCCGTTGAATCGCTGGCCCACCGAAGTCTCAACCATGGCCGATGTATGCACTCGCTATCGCTGAGGATGATGACCTTGAGAAGCATACACCTTTGAGACGCCATGGATTCGAATCGACTGGATGGATCCTTATACACCTTTGAGACGCCATGGATTCGAATCGACTGGATGGATCCAGAGAGAGAGAGAGAGACCTAATTTTTAATTTTTTTTGTGAAGAAAAAAGGGGATTTTCGGTTCAGGTGGGAAGAAGAAAGAGGGACAGGAAAAAAAGGGAATTTGTGAGGGAGTGGTTGCCTTAGACGTGTGAGTTAACAATGGACGGTTGTGGGGAATTCAGAGGATAATACGTGCAAAATTTAAAAATTTACTGTTCATTCTAGCTTTTTTTTGTTGTTCTTAGTAATAATAGTAATAAAGAAGTAGATATATACACACACATCTGATATGTGCACATATTTTGCAAGAATTAAACAAATCATGTATACGATCCTCTATGTCGGGCCGCCAAGTAGAAACAACAGTAATCCCACACTAGGATGATTGGGCCACACGTGAATATTAACTTGGTAACAATAATGAGCCCACAGGAGAGTTGGCTGCTTTGTCAAGCTATTAGGCCCTTCTCTCAAAAGTCCACTTGTTGGGCCGCCACAAGAGCATCAACTGCGAGCGCATTCTGTTACATCTGGGATTGTTGAACAAGTTGTTTGCACAAAGTACAATACGTTTCTCTTCTGTAAAATAAATATAAACATATAAATGAATGAATATAAACTTTTGATTAAATGCCAAACTTGTATAAAATGACAAATAGCTAGGGAAAATCACATAACTCATGCTGGTAGTCTGGCTAGCTTAACGACTTTCTCATCCCCTGGATTTTCTATACAAAGATAAAAATAAGACGCGTGTTCGACTTTAAAGTAAAAAAAAAAGGGGATTGGAATTAAAGTTTTCTCAACTTGATTTTGTTGTAATTCTAAAATGCAAAATTTAGAATCAAGAAGCCAGTTAGATGGAGATATGAATTGATTCCCAAGCCCGGTATTAGCCAAACTAACCGTTAAATTTTGTCTCTAATAGTTAAGCCATTTAATTAGTCAATTTGGCCATTTCATATTTTAGACCCGCAGACGGTCAATTTAAGCGGCAGGGCAATACTGATTGATTCCGTAGCGTCCATGACCGCACTCGCCGATCAACCACCCACTATCTCGGAGGATCGTTGACTTTTTTGCCATTTCCCCCTTTTTTTGGGTCAAATATCCTTTATTTCCCTTTTCCTTTTCCAAAATGTAATATATATGTATATATCAAGTAGAAAATGGATTGTATAAGCTTTTCGGCTGTAGCAATTACGTATCGACTAGTGGGATGCTTTAAATGGGCCGGTGTTGGTTTATTTCTTTGGCGGTCCACAGCACGAAAATATCTTCCTTCCGTGGAAATAAAAATAGTAAATACCGTGTTAAAAATAGTAAATAGATATAATATATACGCGTTATTATTATTATTATTATATTTGGGAAGCATGGCTCACGCTTCGTATTTTTGTAATCCAGGTTCCTTCAGCTGGGCAACATGGCTCTCTCTTGACCACGGACCAGCCGGAGCCGCCTGGACAGCACGTGATCGTGCACTCCTCTTTCTCTCTTCTTTTGCGCCCCCTCCATTATTAAAAAAAAAAAATTAGGGTTAAAAATCCGAAAAACCCCCCCTATTTGTTCTTTGGAAAAATTGCTTCTAGGCCCCAAAATTTAAGTTTTAATGTGCCTTAGCCCCTCACTTTTTTTTTAATATGTTGTAACCCCCTTTTTTTTTGAAGAAACTGTGTCCAGGACCCTCCATCATGATTCCAGCTCATGATTAGACATATCAGCTCCTAAAATCCTAATTTTATCATTTTTCTTTCTCATGCCAGCTCATCCCAGCTCATGTTAACTATTATAGATAACATGTTAACTGTTATAGATAACATGTTAATTATTATAATTTCATAAATATATTTTGAACTCAATGTGTGAACTGTAATAGTTATATAACATGTTATCTATAACAGTTAACATGTTACCTATAATAGTTAACATGAGACGCGAAGTTCCTCGGGACAACGCCGACGACGGAGCAGTGGAGGAAGGTGGGGGAGGGGGACCGGAGGAGGAGGGAGGCGTAAGGGGAGGTGCAACAGGGGGAGGGAGACGGAGCGGGGGAGAGAGGTGTAGGAGGGGAGGGAGGCGAAGTTGGTGAGGGTGGCGGGGGAGGGGGCTGAGGGGGGACCAGAGGAGGAGGAGGGAGGGTGACAGGAGGAGGAGGGAGGTAGAAGGTAAAATCGGGATTTTGGAGGAGGTTGCATTGGAACTTGAGGAGAGGGGCCTGAATATAATTTTTTCAAATTATAAGGTCTCCAGTACATTGGGGGATGTTTGGGGGCTGACACACATTGAAATTTGAATTTTAGAGTCTTAAAGCAATTTTTCCTTGTTCTTTTTGGCGAATAATACATTAGTAATAATAATAGAACGGAGACAAATAATAATAATAATAATAATGAAATAAGGAAGTCTCAGTAGTTACATGCTGAACCAACAACCACCGCCCTCCCCATTTATATAGGAGTCCAATTCCTCCCCCTCTAAAATCCCCATCTCAGGGGGCAGAGAGCAATTGGGAATTGGAATCGGGGATTGAATTCTGGAATTGGGATTATTCTCTTCCCCTTTCCTCTCCTCTCCTCAGCTCACCATGTTTAACCCCGAGGATCAGGTACCTTTTCCTTCCTTTTTTTTTAAATTTATTATTATTAGTATTCTCAGACAATTCTGTGATTTATTTGATTTTCAATTGTTCGACTGTGAGAATTCGTTTGTTGGATAACCGCATGCATCGACACGTAGAAGAACCTGAGGAGCGAATCGTGAATGAGCAGCTAGTATTTGCGTAGAGAGTTAAAGAGGGTAGTAGAATTATCAAAGTATTATTCTTTCAAGACGCCTTTCTTGTTACGCCTGTGATCGTCTTTGTTCACGACACCAGACAATAACAAAGTCTTTATTCCTTAATTATTTGGGTCACCAGCTAAGAGTTAACCATAATTATCCCATCAAATTCTGTCTCCTCCCCCACCAAGTTAACCACTGCCGTATCCTTCTTAATTGTTTCCGACCAGCTTCTCGTAGGCTTTTTCTCTGTTAATTGCATGACTGGTTTGGTTCAGTAAAGGAAAAACTGTCTTAAGGCTCCATGGATAAAAAAACATGCACTACAAGTTGAAAGACTGTTCAGTTGCTTCTGGGCAATGTTTTTTATGCGACAAAAAAATATTTCCCACATAAATCTAATATCCTGTGATGGTCTCTTTACCGAAAAGATTAAGCTTGTAGCTAGGCCGTGACTAGTAATGTACATCAAGGGAACACAATACTTAAACACTTCCTTCTCAGCGGTCTTTTCCGGACATCAAGGGGGAAAGCTTCAAGTCAAAACACGGCTCGCGGGGAAAAGGAGAACAATGGGAGGTTTACAAGCACATTTTTATAAGTGACAATGATGAGTTTTACTCGTAACCTCTTTGAAAACATGATGCTTTCATACCATCTTTAATGTTTAGCCGGATGACTAGGCTTATGAGTCGTGAGATAACCATGTATGTCAAACAAAGCCAGCATTCTGCCGTTTAGTTGTTTTGGAGCTTTTTCGTAGAATGTCGCGGCAATTTGCGTTGGGTATTTGGAACACTGATAGTCGACCATGTCTGGAATTGCTTCCTGACATATTGCCTTCTTTTCTGTTTTAAGCAGGTTACTGCAGATAAAGTGAATGATGCAGCCTGCACACATTCAAGGAGAACAACAACAAAAGTACCTTTATCCCAGCCCTTTGTGGGTAATGGTTTTCCGGATTTAGTTACCGCCTTAGACTCTGAGAAAGCAGCTCATGAATTTCTTCAACAACCACCTGTCAGGGCAGTTGATGACCATCTTATCGAGTTTTCAGAGGCTATGAGAAGTAAGATGATATTATCTTTGCAGTCGACTTAATGGAGCTATCTTCCAGTTTACACTTCCTGACATGAAAAAAAATCAAGCTGAACAAGAAATATAGGAAAAATGTCATTATGTATGAGAAAATAGGAAAATGCAGATAGATCACATAGTTGGGGCGTGAGACTGTGAAAAGAAGTTTAAAGGCTGAACATAATACTACACGAAGCGAGTTTCTAATTTAGCAAGTTGGCTAAATCTTCACATGTCAAGAACTATGTGCAATATAGTTATTATCGCTTTTGTTCCAGTTGGACTTTATCTTCTTTCTAATCCTGTATCATCAACATGCTAATGGAGTAACTGTTAGTAAGCTTATTTGATGGTTGCAGTTATGGGAAAGGAAGTAGAGACATTGATTGATAACAAAGAACATGCAAGATTCCAAACTATTTAAAATTAGTATTTTGCAATATACCGTATGATGTAAATTTCCATTTATATATTTGAAGTTTTAAACATTATCCAGTTTCTGTGTTCTCTGCCTGTCGTTATTTCCCCAGTTAATTAAGGGTTTTCCATATTCTAGGCTCGGATTAATTGCTAATGACGTACTTTTTTGCACCCTTTTTCCAACAAAATCTTGAAATAGGCGACGGAAAGAAGATGCAATATATTCTGTAGAGGAAACCTATAAAGGCAGTTAGAGGTTATGAAACCTTATATAAAGCTTGAGTTTAAGCACATGTAATCATTGAGTAACAGAGTTTGCCTGAATTAATAAGAGTTATAGAGTAGAGAATCCTATGTATTTTTAGGCATAAAGTAAAACGATGTCTTGTGCTTGCATATATTGGTTTGATATAATTAATTTCTGAAATGCTTGTGCGTTGGTCGCTTTAGTTTTTTCCTTTTCCTGAAATGAGAAATCTTTTGTGTATATAATGCAATACGTGCAAGTTCATCCGGTGTTTAAAATATTTATACTCTGTTTAGAGTTAGTTTTAGTACCAATTATATATTACTCATATCGTAATCTGCATCCTCATCAGCTGTGGCAAAGGCGTTGAGGCGAGTCGCAGAAGGAAAAGCTGCAGCTCAAGAAGAAGCAGCTGAGTGGAAACGCAAATACGAATTGGAGAGAGCACACAATCTGCGTCTTAATCATATAGGTGACCAATTGATATGTTTAAATTTGATATAGCTTTTACTACCTACTTTTACAAATAGTGAAAAAAATATATGCCTTCTTAAATATTTTATTTCTTTAAATCTATTCACTGCACCTATAGATTATTAGTATGCTTAAATATGCTATGTATGTTTTTATCAATTTCGTTGGTGAGTGTCTGATTAATGCGCCTTCTTAAACCTTGCCATTTATCCTTTCTCTTTTCATTTTTTAAGCTGTAACGTTATCTAATGTTCTTAATTTCTCGTGACACAAATTCCACTTTACAGTGCACATAAACATACGCTACCTGACAACTTTTATTAATCAGGTGCATTAATAATGCAATTATTTGCTCCTTTATTGCAGCACCAGTAGCTGAGGTTTGTCACTGCACTTCCGACAATGATAAGTGTGTGAACCAATTGGATCAATCCATGGTACCAAATCCTGTTAGTGACCAAAGTGACAGATGTTGTGGAAAGCATGGAATTTGTTCACACGAGATTCTTGGGGATGAGGTGGCAGAGCCCATAGAACGCACATTGGCTGCAAAAAAGGTAATACGGAGCTTATCTTTTCTTCATTTTGGTTTTCTTTGTCTGTAGTTTTCCTTTGCTTCTCCCAAGATTATGTCATTTTCTTTTTAACCCCTTTTCCTTTTTCGGCGATCCCTTTCATTTTCTTTGTAGCTATATTAAGTAAGCTTTTTCATTGAACCACCACCATGGCTTGCAGTAAGTTGCTCGTATAGAAAATAAAATCAAAGGAGATTAGATAACTGTCTTGTGTATCCTTGAACTGATATTATCTGTTTCCTCAGTGCTTATTTTTATTATGATAAACTCTCCTCATATCTTTCCTGGAATTCCTTATACCTTTCCTCCTCGAAAATTTTTCATTTTTTCTCTTACCAATTACACTTTCTTAGTTATGCTGTCTGTTTACAGTATGATTCACATTTAAGTCAGAAAAGCTTCGATATTTAGCAGTCTAAACACACTTAAGAAAACATTTTATTCCTTGTCGAATTCTCAGCTTATACCATATACCACTTGTTCTGGTCCAAGACACTTAATTTCCATTTTGTCACTAGTAACAAATCTAGGCATTGTTGGTGTCAGGCATCATTAAGCCGTGGACAGATGGGTTAGATTGGCCCAGACTGGTTTAAGGAAGCTGAACTTCCCACTGGATGATTTCATTCTGTAGGGCTGCAATTACAATCTATTTTTTTTCTTATTGTATGTGTTGGTTCAATTTTTTGTCTTCATCAGAAATAATACTATTTTTTCTCCATAAATTTCAGTTTTCTTCTTTATGCTACAGGCATCATTTAGGCTTGCTTGGGGATGCAATGGTGAGAAAAGTGGTCAGCACAAGCATGAAATTGTTTCCTTTGAAAAAGGGAACATAACCACTGCTGAACGCAGCAGTAAGCAGGTTGGTGCACTTTGGCTTTTCGATTTGTTTAACTTACAAATCTTGCTACTGACTATTTGTTTAATACCGCGACTTGGTAGAACTGGATTTTGATTATACCTGATATTTTTGTCATTTCCCGCGTAGTTGGCCTAGTTAAAACTCCTATTTTATCTTCAGATTTTACTGAAGTGGGAATCCCAGCCAAAGAATGTGCTTATATTGACCAAACCAAATTCAAAATCTGTTCGTGCTCTCTGTGCTGCTATGGTCAGGTGTGCTCCTTAAAGTAGCTACTGATATTGTCTCCTACAATTTTTAGTTCCTTGTAATTCTTTGATTGTAGCATGAAGAGATTGGGAGAAAACTTTGAGATGAATATTTAGTTCTACGAGAAAATCATA